CATGCTACTGAATGAATGAAATATATATATATATTCTTAGCATCAGGAAAGGACAGGAAAGCATATATATATGTGTTTAGAGAAAAAAAGGTGGGGTGGGGTGTGTGGATCTTAGCCCCAAAAGACGTGTCCCGAATGCAGCCAGTTTAGCCCATCTCATTAGTCAGTCCTTTGTAGAGTGTGGCTCTTATCACGTCCAACGGGAAGATTCTCCACCCTTCGACAGTTCTACATTTTCACCTTCAGGTAGTTCCTCGTCGCGTGTCTTTGAAATGAGGTGTCCACTGTTGTGCTAATCGACCCCATTTTTCTATTACTTACTTTATGGTCCCTAAACAGGCATCTTAAAGTGCCTTGCCTGCTGGCGTTGGCTACCATGCATCTCTCACAACTTGTGATCTCTAACAGCAAATGTCACTTCGTCAAAAATCTTCTCGCGTTGTCTTCTTCTGTATCTTGTCAGCTGACACAACATATTCTAGTGACTCCGTCCGAAATTCTAGTAGATCGGTCTAACCAATTCGTGCTCATTCCTCCGATGCAGCAGTCATCTCAGTGTCTCTAATGCTCACCGTACACGGTAGGAGTTTCGCTGCACCTCCTCTGACTTTGCCTGGCAACACGTTTCTGCATGCTTGTCCTTGTCTAGGACCCAGTTCTAACAGGCGGTTCATCATACCTGACTCCCTTGTCTCAACGTCTTTGGAATGTAGTTCTTTCAGAACGATTGCCCTGTACAGCTTCAACCACCCCCCCCCCCCCCTCCCACCACCACCACCAACTACTGCAGACACGTTCAGTCTGTCGGCTCTTACATTTTCTGTCACCCCAGCGCCTTCTGTGTGTACAGCCAAGAAAGTTTCTTGACGCAGGACATCCGGGTGCTGTCAACCCATTCTGGTTGGACAACAATGTGGCAGCTATCGGGAATACCTCATTAAAGTGACTTTGTGTTCGTGTCTATACACGTGGTCTAGTTGATTTATGCAGTAAGCTGACAAAGGCTCTGTAACCGCAAAGTTGACTTTCCGGTTGTGTTTGTTATATTGTGAAGCTCGCTGGTCTACTTTTCGTTTGGTTTCATATCTTTTCAACCCATTCTGGTCCGAGTTTACCAGTTTGGATCTCCCTAACCATGCCCATTGAGTCTGTCACTATCGGTGTATTAGCTGACCATGTCATAACAAAAACACACAAAGGCCTGTCAGCAATGAGGGTCCTGGCCGCCGCTAACACTGAGCAGAGACTGCTTCTGTTCCAGGCGCTTATACTTTCTCCCATCGAATATGCTCTTGCCATCCTCACTGTCAGCCATCCTCAGATTGAAAGACTTGAGAAGGTGCAAAATGAAGCAATGCGCATTATTCTAGGGTGCACTGGAGACACCTCTTGTATTGCAGTGAGGTACCTTCTTGACTTCCCTACCATGAACTACAGGATCAAGATCTGGAGGGCTCGTGCATTCCTCCAGATAAGCTCAGATCTGAAGCACCCTTTGCACCACATGCTATTCGAGAAAATAGCAATAGGCTTAAAAGGGGCAAATAATGGCAGGGCAGTGCAGAAGATGACATCATGCAGGTTTGCAGCCTTACATGCATCCATCCAGGTGAGGAGTGGACACCAGCGTCTAAGGCACCCATTCTCACATTCTCCTGTGTCATGACGCTCGATGGGAGTTGTCGGGAGCAGAATCCAGCTACTGTCAATGCTGAGGTATGCGCGCTTATCAGTGACAATTCAGATGAGACTGATGTGGTGATCTTCGCAGACGGTTCCGTTATACGAGAACATAAGAGTGCATGGGAATTTACAGCTCGCTCTTTAGACAGAACAGTTAAGGTAGCCAATGGTGCCTTCTCCTTGACCACCAGCAGCATGACAATGGAGGTGATGGAGGTGACACAAGCTTTCATGTGGCTAGAATCACAGGACTATTCCCGCGTGTGTGTGCTGAGTGATTCTTTGAGTATGATCCGGCGGGTCGAGGCAAGCTGGTTACGCATACAGTGGCTTGAGTCATTGCAAAATTCCCCTGTGTGTGCAGTTACTTTTATATTCGTCCCAGGTCATGCAGGCGTTGTTGGTAATGAGAGAGCTGATAGACTGGCAGGTGCTGCATTAATTGAAGATGGCCACCCCATGGATCACGCAGACATTGTCATTCCCCTTAGAGAGATAGGACGTTCTGAGGATTTTGAAAGCAACTGTCCACATCACTGCTAAGAATACGCGAATTGAGAGTAAAGATCGGCACAGCCAAGCATGAGAAGCACACTGGACGCACATGAAGTCTTGTTAACCAACATAGGACTGGTACTATTAACCGCACGACGCTGATGAATATGTTGAGAGGGGAATCTGAGCGCCTATGGATGTGTCCGGAGTGCTGTGAAGATAATCTAACTCATAACTCAGTGTATTAGCTGCTTTCTTGTCCAATAACCATGACCATGCAAGCTCACATGTAACAGCTGCTGTCTCCACCATCATACTAGAAGAAGTTGAATTGAATGTCTGACTTTCTTTTGTTACTGTCTTCCCGTTCACCTGCACTGTGTATGCCGCGTAAGCGCAGTCGATAGGAGACTCGCTTTCAAATACAGCTGCGACTAGCTGCAGCCTACGACCGGTTTTTCGAAACCGGGCGGTTCCCAGGGTTCACCCAGCCTCTAGAATATGTGTACCAGAGTTAATACTCTGGAGTAAATGGAGGAACGTCGCTGTAGCTACAGAGTTGCGTGCGGACGGCGACACAGGCGGACATTTTCTTATCAGCTGACCGTACTGGTTATACCCGTGTGTAATGACGCTGGTTCATATCTCCCGACTTTACCGTACTGGTTATACCCGTGTGTATTGACGCTGGTTCACATCTCCCGACTTTACTGTACTGGTTATACCCGTGTGTAATGACGCTGGTTCACATCTCCCGACTTTACCGTACTGGTTATACCCGCGTGTAATGACGCTGGTTCACATCTCCCGACTTTACCGTACTGGTTATACCCGCGTGTAATGACGCTGGTTCACATCTCCCGACTTTACCGTACTGGTTATACCCGCGTGTAATGACGCTGGTTCACATCTCCCGACTTTACCGTACTGGTTATACCCGCGTGTAATGACGCTGGTTCACATCTCCCGACTTTACCGTACTGGTTATACCCGCGTATAATGACGCTGGTTCACATCTCCCGACTTTACCGTACTGGTTATACCCGTGTGTAATGACGCTGGTTCACATCTCCCGACTTTACCGTACTGGTTATACCCGTGTGTAATGACGCTGGTTCACATCTAATGACCCATCTCCCGACTTGACCGTACTGGTTATACCCGTGTGTAATGACGCTGGTTCACATCTCCCGACAGTACTGGTTGACCCTTTACCTTTACACAGACCCCGACTTTACCTTTATGCCCCCACACCGATAATTGAGCCATCTGTAAAGATGATGACGTCACCTGGTCGAGTGCCCTTATTTCAGATTTCGCGGCCATTTGGCTCCATTCTCTGGAATAGGCTTACTCCCCGGGGGTGATTATTACCCCAATATGCTCTTGTTTTATTTCTGTTGTTTCTATCCATTCAGCACCGAGCCTGTCATGTCTTCTTCTTCTTCTTCGCGTTCACACTGTACACTCTGGCGGAAAGTTCTGGTTGTTCGTCCACTACTGAACTGCAGTCCTGCTCCAGAACCTGAGTGTTGCGTGTGCATCAGTTTTACAGATCTGATTCACTTGAACCAGACTGTTGGTTCCTTGCCTCTCAGGCAGATGCACTCCGACTTCAAAGGAAGCTCCCCAATTAGTCACCTCTTACGACATGCTTTTGGGTAGGCAGAGGGTCTATCCTTGTTTTCCCCAGGATGGGGCCCCGGAACACACACAGGGAAGCCTGTCATGTTCTACTGGGCATATTTGGCTAATTATGTCCCCTGCTTCAGCAATTCTGGACCGCCTCCACTATAGGCGCTTACCTTTGTGCACCTGCAGGCAGACGTGTCTGGACTCTTTGCGTCTAGCAACCACGTCTGGCAGATTGAGGACATATCGTATGGCGGGGCATGTGTTGTCTCATGTTTTTTTTTTCGTCTCCTCTTATGACGTGACCAAAACATGAAGACTTGTCTCATTCCCATATTTGTGATAGTTGCCAGCAGGCCTTCGCCTGTTTCAAAAATATGGATTACGTATTTTGGCTGTCCAATGAATTTTACGCATTCGTATATAAAACCACATCTCCGAGACCTCGAGTAAGTATATTTTGCTAATTCCCGTCTTTTTTTTTTTTTTGTTTTTTTTTTTTTGTTTGTTATTTGAAGCCCTACTCTGGCTTTGCCAGGGGCCGCAATATAGCTTGGCCATAAATATGGCTTAAAGGCTGAACGCGGTTTGCTGCTCTTCTCGTCCTTTTTAAGATGCACTTTTTCGTTATTTGAAGCCCTACTTTGGTTCTTGCCAGGGGCCGCAATATAAGGCTGAACGCAGTTTCTGGGACCTCTCCACGGTGATCCTCACCCATATGGTGGCACATTGTGTCATCGGATGTTTATCGCTTGTGTGATGTCCAGGTGGGATAGAAAGTCAGTCAGTCACCTCGAGTAACTGTCTGCCTGGTGGACCAAGACCGTCTCCAGTTGAGAGCATACTACAGAAAGCTTTGGGTGGACATTACCTGAAAAATCAATCTTCAACATGAACTCATGCCGGAAGCGGAAATGACGTCAGTGCAGTGGATAACCTCAGCCGAGAGCCCAACAACGTCTGCTTGGCTTTTTTTCGTTGACAGCTTCTTTTCTGGAGCATAGTTGTGACATGAGGAATGTTTGACATAAGCACATCTCCACCTACAGGCAGCTTTTTTTATCTGAAACTGCTGTAGCTGTAGAATCAATAAGAAGGCCAAATAACACCGAGGCAACAGCAGTGGTGGGATCAATCAGGCCAGTCTGTCAGATATCGTGAGACTGAGACCGTAGACAAGGAAAACCAGAATGGCAAAGAAGACCTATGATTTATTATTTAAGTTGTTGCTTATTGGTGATTCTGGTGTTGGGAAGACATGTCTGCTCTTCAGGTTCTCGGATGATGCATTTAATACCACGTTCATATCAACTATAGGTTTGTATCTATCACTACTAACACAATACAATTCAGCATAGTTTCCATTGTGATTGTCTGCCAACGCCTTCATTTGGGGAGGGGAGGGGGGGGGGGGGGGGTAAACTTTACCTGCTCCATTTGTGCCAATGTCTTCTTCTTCGTTTGTCGTCACACTGTGTGCCGGCTTGTAGCCTACTGTCTTGCTTTTTTGTAATTCTACTATGGGTCTCAGGGGACTTCAGTGGTGGTTTTGTTTTATCTGTTTGCATCCATCCATCTCGTCCTCAGTCTTTATCTGGCCTTCTCATATTGTATAATACACACCTCCTACCTTTGCCTTTGTTATCAAGAATGGTTTTGTCTCTGAAGACAGCAACATGTTTTCAGTCAGTTTTTTTTTTCATTCTTGCTGAGTATTTTTGTGTTGGTTATGACTATTACATTCTAAAATTGTTATTTACCTGCTTACCTGTGTACGCTATCAATAATGTATGGTTATGAAACCAGATAAAAATATTAATAAATTATAATAAAACAAACAGACTTGCGAAAGCATCACATACCAGATGATCACCACAGACTGTTAAAACAGCAGCTCCATACTGGTCTTTCACTTGTTTGAGAATTCCACTTCAGTTATTGTGGTGTTTGGTAGACAATTATTGTGGTGTTTGGTAGACAATTATTGTGGTGTTTGGTAGACAATTATTGTGGTGTTTGGTAGACAATTATTGTGGTGTTTGGTAGACAATTATTGTGGTGTTTGGTAGACAATTATTGTGGTGTTTGGTAGAAAATTATTGTGGTGTTTGGTAGAAAATTATTGTGGTGTTCGGTAGAAAATTATTGTGGTGTTTTGTAAAAAATTATTGTGGTGTTTGGTAGAAAATTATTGTGGTGTTTGGTAGAAAATTATTGTGGTGTTTTTTAGACTGGTGTAGCTAATTTCAATGTTTTTCTATATACACTCATCATCATGTCAGGCAGTGTAGGCAATCATGTCTCTTCACAGATCTTGATCATTGAAATCTTGAGTCACTTCCACGGATGAAATTCCTCTTTGCCATCGCCTCAGGCCGTCAAGCATCATCTCTCTTGGCTTGCCTCTGCCTCTTCTACTGTGGATCTTTGTAGTCATCACAATGTTCTGCAGTGTCTCTCTTGTCATCAGCTCACTGAAGAACATGGACTGCCTCTTTTGTATAGTTGTGTATAGTTTTATAACTTAATTTCCAGAGAGTTGTTGTTAGTTACTCTGGTTATCCCTGGTGTTTACAACATGCGTTTTAGAAATCACATCTCCATGGCCTCATAGTTTTACCTCATTTGTTTATAGATATTCAGATATTTGTAGCCATCACACACACACACACAGTCAGTCATGAAATATTTACATATTGATATCAGGGCACTGACTAAATCTGTCAATGTTGAATTAAAAGCTATTCACACACACTCAATCATGACATATTTACATATTGATATTAGGGCACTGACTTAATCTGTCAATGTTGAATTAAAAGCTATTCACACACAGTCAGTCATGCAATATTTACATATTGATATTAGGGCACTGACTACGTCTGTAAATGTTGAGTTAATAGCCATTCACATGCACGCAATCATGACATATTTACATATTGATATTAGGGTATTGACTAAATCTATCAGGGTTGCCCATTTAATGTAAAATAACCCTGGAGGAAATATTAAAAAAGATTTGTAATGCTGGGATGGAAAAAAAATGAAGGTAGGGCATATCAGGCATATCAGTCACACACATGCGTAAGTGCACACTCACGCCATTTGTGCACCTGTTGTAGAGTTCAAGGACTCTGCCACTATATTGTTGCCATACCTAGTGCTTAGCCTGGCCTGTAAGGAGACTGACATTGCTGGGACCCATTGTACTTCACATGACATCACATTGTACTTCACATGACATTACATTACATCACATTGTACTTCACATGACATCACATTGTACTTCACATGACATCACATTGTACTTCACATGACATCACACTGTACTTCACATGACATCACATTGTACTTCACATGACATCACATTGTACTTCACATGACATCGTCACATTGTACTTCGCGTGACATCATCACATTGTACTTCGCGTGACATCACATTGTACTTCACATAACATCAGGTGACATCACATGACATAACATTGTACTTCACATAACATCAGGTGACATCACATGACATCACATTGTACTTCACATGACATCACATGAACTTTCTTGAAAGTTGAACATACTGCTCACATGACATCACATTGTACTTCACATGACATCACATTGTACTGTCACTTCACATCACATTGTACTTCACATGACATCACATTGTACTTCACATAACATCACATGACATTACTGTCTCTTGCATCCATTGACTAGAACATACATCACTTGCATACTTGACATTACTGTCACATGCCATCCATTGACATTAGTACCTACATCTTGCATGTATTGACAGTACTGTCTCTTGCATCCATTGACTAGAACTTACATCTTGCATGTATTGACAGTACTGTCTCTTGCCATCAATTGACTAGAACTTACATCTTGCATGTATTGACAATACTGTCACTTGCCATCCATTGACTAGAACCTACATCTTGCATGTATTGACAGTACTGTCTCTTGCATCCATTGACTAGAACTTACATCTTGCATGTATTGACACTACTGTCTCTTGCCATCCATTGACTAGAACCTACATCTTGCATGTATTGACATACTGTCTCACATTGACTCACATCCATTGACTAGAACATGACATCTTGCATGTATTGACAGTACTGTCTCTTGCATCCATTGACTAGAACTTACATCTGGCATGTATTGACACTACTGTCTCTTACCATCCATTGACTAGAACCTACATCTTGCATGTATTGACAGTACTGTCTCTTGCCATCCATTGACTAGAACCTACATCTTGCATGTATTGACAGTACTGTCTCTTGCCATCCATTGACTAGAACTTACATCTTGCATATATTGACAGTACTGTCTCTTGCCATCCATTGACTAGAACCTACATCTTGCATGTATTGACAGTAATGTCTCTTGCCATCCATTGACTAGAACTTACATCTTTCATGTATTGACAGTACTGTCTCTTGCCATCCATTGACTAGAACTTACATCTTGCATGTATTGACAGTACTGTCTCTTGCCATCCATTGACTAGAACTACATCTTGCATGTATTGACAGTACTGTCATTCTTGCCATCCATTGACTAAACTGACATCTTGCATGTGTTGACAGTACTGTCTCTTCATCCATTGACTAGAACTTACATCTTCACATTGACAGTACTGTCTCTTGCATCCATTGACTAGAATAGAACTTACATCTTGCATCATTGATAACATCACATTGTACTTCTCTTGCCATCCATTGACTAGAACTTACATCTTGCATGTATTGACAGTACTGTCTCTTGCCATCCATTGACTAGAACCTACATCTTGCATGTATTGACAGTACTGTCTCTTGCATCCATTGACTAGAACCTACATCTTGCATGTATTGACAGTACTGTCTCTTGCCATCCATAGAACTTTCATCTTGAAATGTATTGACACTACTGCTTGCTGCATTGACTTGAACCTACATCTTGCATGTATTGACAGTACTGTCTCTTGCCATCCATTGACTAGAACTTACATCTTGCATGTATTGACACTACTGTCTCTTGCCATCCATTGACTAGAACTTACATCTTGCATGTATTGACAGTACTGTCTCTTGCCATCCATTGACTAGAACTTACATCTTGCATGTATTGACACTACTGTCTCTTGCCATCCATTGACTAGAACTTACATCTTGCAAGTTTTAATCGACAGTACTGTCTCTTGCCATCCATTGACTAGAACTTACATCTTGCATGTATTGACAGTACTGTCTCTTGCCATTCATTGACTAGAACTTACATATTTTAAGTTTGAATAGACAGTACTGTCTCTTGCCATCAATTGACTAGAACTTACATCTGGCATGTATTGACAGTGTCTATCCTATTCTGCCAATAGAATTCATAAATGAAATATGTCTAGTTAATGTGTCAACTTGTATATACTGTCGTATTTCGTCCTTTTTAGGACAAAATTTTTTTGTTATTTGAAGCCCCACCCTGGCTTTTGCCAGGGGCCGCAATATAGGCAGGCCATAAATATGGCCAATTGTCTGAACGCGGTTACTGGGACCTCTCCACGTCGATTCTCATCCACATGGTGGCACTTTGTGTCATCGGGTGTTTATCGCTTGTGTGATGTCCTGGTGGGGTAGAAAGTCAGTCAGTCAGTTAATGTGTGCTGTATTTAACTATTCAGGTATTGACTTCAAGATCAAGACAGTTGAGCTGGGTGGTAAAAAGATCAAACTTCAAATATGGTAAGCTGGTTATTATGTCCTTATGCCAGTTTGGCTTCCCTTCCCCCATCATTTTCATTCTCTCAGTTTTGATACATTGGATCTTTGCTAGCTGGATACTTTGATTGTGTCAGTTATGTGATCTCAGACTGCAGACGGTGGCGCTGTTCGATGCATTTATGCGTGTGCTTATAACAGTTTCTTCTTCTTCTTCTTCTTTGTGCTCATGATCAGTAAACTCTAGCGGAAGTTGTGATTGTTTGTTCACTTCTAGACTTTAGTCTTGTTTCAGGACTTAAGTATTGCATGCACACCTGTTTTAAAGTCTGGCTTATTTGTATGCAGACTGTTGGTTTCTTGACTCTTAGGCAGATGCACTTCAGCTTCAAAGGAAGTCGACTCCTACAAAATGTTTGTCAGAGAGGCAGTGTGTCTATTTGTTTTACACACTGGGGTTTTAGTTAGTTATTAAAACATCTGCACTCTATTTTGCAGATGATGGGTAATGTTTCTCATAGTGTACACATGCATTTAGTGGAGATGTGTTTGTGCACATGTGACCTGACCCTGAACTCTCTACAGGGACACAGCGGGGCAGGAGCGCTTTCACACCATCACCACTTCCTACTACAGGGGTTCCATGGGAATCATGCTTGTTTATGACATCACAAACCTCAAGAGTTTCGACAACATCTCCAAGTGGCTGCAGAACATTGACGAGGTATGCTGCGTCTGCTTCTTCTCATTTTGCTCTTCAGGTGACTGATCTGTGCCGGACACGGGCTGTCATGATACACTGTTATCTGATATTTGGATCAAGTTGTAGCTGGTTCCTTATCTCTTTTCAAACTATTTCATAACTATATATATGTATATATATACGTACTCAAGGGGAAGTCAATAAGTAAGTCACAAATGGTTGTTTAAAAAAAACACTAAAGACGAAAACAACTTGAAAACCAATAATTTTTACACATAAACTGTCCCTTTATTTTTGTAAAACAATTTTTAGCAACGTTGATGCACTTGTCTAAGCGTTTTATCAGTCCTCCCAAACCTGCTGCATAGAACTGCATGTTGTGTTTTCTACGTTATTTTTTCACTTCACAACTTGTGCATCATTTGCAAAATGTCTCCTGCCAAGGGTGGTTTTCAGTGGACCAAAAAAGTGGAAATTTCTGGTGCTTAGTCAGGGCTAGGAGTCAGTAGGCCTGGACGTTTTCTTCCAACTGCATCATGAAGCACCAATAGAACTTTACAGTTTGAATCAGCATTCACATAGTCACTGTTGGATTTTCCAGAAGTTAAAAGCACTCCTTACTTTACCCTTCCACGTATTGGGGCAAGTTCCTGTTAATTGTCTGGTTCCTTGGTTAACCGAGCCATGTGTAGTCTGGCATTGTCATAAGGAGTATAACTTCCTTAGTCAGTAGGCCTGGACGTTTTCTTCCATCCTCTGTAAAACTGCTTGATTTTGGCACTTCCAACATTTATCAGTGGCCTGTGTGTTCTGCTGAAGCACTGATTCTGCATTATGTTGTAAACAGCTGTTGTTGAGAGTAGTCAGATGTTCCTGTAGATTACATTTTTGAATCAGCATTCACATAGTCACTGTTTTTGTTTTCTTTAATTGGTTAAAAGCACTCTTTGACAATCCCAGAAAAATGTCAGCATAACCTTTCCTGCTGATGGCGTAACCTTGAACACAAATCTCCACTGCACTGAAGCATGCGTTGATTGGGGCTGGTAGTGATGCACCCATGATTCGTCCCCAGTCATCATTCTGTTCAGCATGTCTTCTCCTTTATCTACCTATCGACAGAGATGCTGCAGGGACAGGCCTACTTGGTTCATTTTGTGTTTGTCCATCAGTTATCTGTGTACCAACCTCTAGCACAGTTTCTTAAAGTTCAATCGATCATGCATTCTGTTGAATGCTGAACCATGTGAGCACCCTAGTGCAGCTGCTACAGAGTCTGGCATTGCACTCCTGTCACCTCTGATCACCTCCACCCGCTGCACGGATGCGTCTGTTGCAAGCTCAACAGGATGACCAGATCGGACTTCATCAACAATTTTAGAGCGCCCTTCGTAAATTTATTTTACCCAACACTGCCCCGCTTTACGGGATAGACATTTGTCAGCATTAACAGGAAGCATTTCCTTATGAATGTCCTTTGCAGGTAGCCCTTTTTCACAGACAATATAGAGTAAAACTATAAAGAAAAATTATCACCAGAGCTACGGAGTATGTGCATTGTGCTTGAAACCTTCTTCATTGGCCACAAAGATAGAGAAAAAAATTAGCTGTTCAATGAAAATTCAGGCCCAAGTGACATCATAATCTATACAAATGGGTCTATAGTGAGAGGTAAGCAGAGAGTGGGTGGGGTTTTATTGCAAAGATGAATAGACATGGCTTGAAAACAGAGTCTCACATAGAACATCACTACATCCAGTAAGAGAATGGAGGTGGAGGCAGTAACAGTAGCTTTCTGATGGCTTGAGAACAGCACTGCCCGGCATGTTGTGACTGTAACAGCATGCTTGGGAAAATTGAAGCTGGTGTCCTGCGAGTGTGGCTTACACAACTTATTAAGACCAGGGTAAGGAGCAGGCTGATAGATTAACTGCTGCTGCTCCTATAGGCGGTGAGCTGTTATATGATAAAGCAGAACTGGTGAAGGCTCTGTGGAATCAAATGGACAATACAAAAAAAAAAACAGATAGGGAATCCATAGACTGAAAGACTAGTTCATCAGTTGGGGGTGGGGGAGGGGTGGGGGGTAAGTAGAGGTTCTGGGAGATACCTAACATTAAAGAGGAAACAGAAAGACTTTTAATCAGGCTGCAGCCGGTACTATTATCGTATCAACTTATCAACTCATCATTGTTAACTGAAGAAGAGGGCGTGCATATGTGGGAAGTCATGAGTGCAGTAATGTCAATTCTTGATTCGTTCATTTGCTAATTCATTCATTCTCAGACATTTATTTTCAAATGCATTTAGCGTTTGCTCCATATCTTTGGTGGTTCTCCACCTGTGGCTGACGTTTGTTAGAACTGAACAAACGTTAGAACTGAACAAACGTTAGAACTGAACAAACGTTAGAACTGAACAAACGTTAGAACTGAACAAACGTTAGAACTAAAGACTTTTAGTTTGGTCTTAAAGCTGTATAACCTGAAGCTCTATATTAAGGCTTTTAAAGACTGTTGTAGCTTTGCCAGTGCGTGTGATAATTTCCTTCATTGTATCAGTTGAGAGAGAAGTATCCTACCCACTCAACCACCCACACCTTATGTAGATTCAGTAACACATGTGGAAGCATTGATGGGCATAGGGATCAATAATGTGCAGTCTAGCAGTGAGTGACAACACCACCAGTTGTGTATGGAAACATGTGTTGTCTCCCATATGTTGTGTGGCCATTAGACTGTCAGCCAGCACCTACTGGGAACTAGATAGTTGTGTGTGTTTGTTGACAACTTTAGGAACCTCTGCAATATAGGATCTCTCTCACTCTCTGTCTCTCTCTCCCTTTCTCTCTCTCTCTTTCTCTCTCTCTTTCTGTGTGTGTGTGTGTGTGTCTCTGTGTGTGGCTGTGTATGTTTGTGTCTGCTTGTGTGTGTGTCTTTGTATGTCTGTGCCTGTGTGTGTTTGACTTTGTGTGTTTGTGTGTGTCTTTCTGTGTGTGTGTGTACATGTGTGTCTGCATGTGTGTCTGTGTTTATGGCTGCTTGTGTATCTGTGTGCATTTATGTATGTGTGTCTGTGTGAGTGTGTGTATATGTAAGTTGTTTGTGTGTGTCTGTGTATGTGTGGCTGCATGTATGTGTATCTGTTTTTGTGTTTTTGTGTGGCTTTGTATGTGTGTTTGTGACTGTGTGAGAGACTGTGTGTGTGTATGAATGTGTAAGTATGTATGTACGTGGGTGCATATGTGTGTGTAAGTGCGTGTGTTTGCATGTTTATGTGGGTATGTGTGCGCGTGTGAGTGTGCACCTACATTTTACCACCCGTGCTTTTGTATTTTGTGCTGGATATTCATAGTATGCATATTATAAACATAACATGCTTTATTGATAAAATACAAATGCTGTGTGAAAAAAGGTTGTTTGGAAGGGCTGATTGTAAGACGGGCCTGTGTTCACAGTTTGTGACCTTTTGAAAATAAAGGTTGTTTGTTCATTCATTTGTTAGGGTGTCTAGGGAGATATACGGTTCCGCTTCTGGTTTGTCTGGCTGCCTCGACCAGCGACACATGATGCTGTTGTAGTTTCTGTGATGTTATCTTTCTATCTTCTTGTGGGTCTAGCTTCTGGTTTGTCTGGCTGCCTCGAGACAAAGACACATGATGCTATTGTAGTTTCTGTGATGTTATCTGTCCATCTTCTTGTGGGTCTAGCTTCTGGTTTGTCTGGCTGCCTCGAGACAAAGACACATGATGCTATTGTAGTTTCTGTGATGTTATCTGTCCATCTTCTTGTGGGTCTAGCTTCTGGTTTGTCTGGCTGCCTCGAGACAAAGACACATGATGCTATTGTAGTTTCTGTGATGTTATCTGTCCATCTTCTTGTGGGTCTAGCTTCTGGTTTGTCTGGCTGCCTCGAGACAAAGACACATCATGCTATTGTAGTTTCTGTGATGTTATCTGTCCATCTTCTTGTGGGTCTAGCTTCTGGTTTGTCTGGCTGCCTCGACCACAGACACATGATGCTATTGTAGTTTCTGTGATGTTATCTTTCTATCTTCTTGTGGGTCTAGCTTGTGGTTTGTCTGGCTGCCTCCACCACAGACACATGATGCTATTGTAGGTTCTGTGATGTTATCTGTCCATCTTCTTGTGGGTCTAGCTTGTGCTCTACATTCTTCTCTTTCATGTATACCTTGTATGGTATGGCTTCACAGGGTATTTCTCTCTGAGTGGGCAAGCCATTTGGTTTGCTGTCTTTGTATATAATTTAGAAACTGGTTCTGTGTCAACTAGTTCTCTAGTGACCTCATTCCTGATTTTATCTCTTCTGGTGACTGCCGCAGCCCTTCACAGACAACTCATTGCCATGGTTACTGGTATTCACTGGCAGAAATGTTCCTATGACATGGGAAAGCAGATGTCAGAGATTGTTCTGCTGACAGTGTGACATAGAGGTGTATTCATGACGCTGTTGCCACGGCAATGATGGCTGCAGCATGCGGTTGAAGATATAACTGCACATGTTGTATGTTGTCTGTGTACACAGTATATGGTATGTCTCTCTACAGATAATGTGTGATGTCTGTGTACACAGTATGTGGTATGTCTCTCTACAGATAATGTGTGATGTCTGTGTACACAGTATGTGGTATGTCTCTCTACAGATAATGTGTGATGTCTGTGTACACAGTATGTGGTATGTCTCTCTACAGATAATGTGTGATGTCTGTGTACACAGTATATGGTATGTCTCTCTACAGATAATATATGATGTCTGTGTACACAGTATATGGTATGTCTCTCTACAGATAATGTGTGATGTCTGTGTACACAGTATGTGGGATGTCTCTCTACAGATAATGTGTGATGTCTGTGTACACAGTATGTGGTATGTCTCTCTACAGATAATGTGTGATGTCTGTGTACACAGTATATGGTATGTCTCTCTACAGATAATGTGTGATGTCTGTGTACACAGTATATGGTATGTCTCTCTACAGATAATGTGTTATGTCTGTGTACACAGTAAATGGTATGTCTCTCTACAGATAATGTGTGATGTCTGTGTACACAGTATATGGTATGTCTCTCTACAGATAATGTGTTATGTCTGTGTACACAGTATATGGTATGTCTCTCTACAGATAATGTGTGATGTCTGTGTACACAGTAAATGGTATGTCTCTCTACAGATAATGTGTGATGTCTGTGTACACAGTAAATGGTATGTCTCTCTACAGATAATGTGTGATGTCTGTGTACACAGTATGTGGGATGTCTGTGTACAGAGCATGTGCATTGTCTGTGTGTACAGTATGTGAAATGTCTGTTGTTTGCTTATTGTCTGCTGTTTGTTGCCAGCATGCAAACGAGGATGTGGAGAAGATGATCCTAGGCAACAAGTGTGACATGGATGACAAGAGACAAGTGCCCACCGCTCGGGCAGAAGCTGTGAGCACTTGCTTTGTTTATACGTGTCTGTCTTTTTGTTTGGGTGATAGACTGATTCCTTGAATTTATGTTTATTCAACGGACCAACATCATGGCACACAGGTATAACCCATAAGTGCTTCGTTCTTCTTCTAACTTGAACCTGAGTCTGGAGAATCTCAGCGCAGTGCACAAACTCTGTAGCACCGGCTAGGATCCTGAAATACTTTTGGGTAGATTTTTAACTCCAAATTTTGCCCTGGGCAGTGCTGTTAGGCTACTCTTTTTGACTTCCAACTGCCAAGGGATTTTTACTTTGCAGCAATACACAAGGGCGTCCGGTCTTACTACCCAGAGACCAGGGGGAAATTATTAGAAGTCCATGTGAAAAAATCCCAGCCTTCACCGGGGCTTGAACCCCGAACCTCTAGCACTTGAGGCAGACACCATGCCTGGAGACCACACAGACCCCTTCTTTAATTGTGATAGCAAACTCCAGAAGGAGTAAGCAAATATGTTTAATTTAACTAATTTAATCTCTTTGTTCCCCTCTCTCCTCCTTTGTCTCCCTCCTCTCTTGCCACTTGTCTCTCCTTCTTTCCCCCCCCCCTCTTCTACCTTTTTAAGGTTTTCTCAAATGGTATCAATGCATGGTGGCATCCTCTGTCTGTCTGTTTAATTATTAATTTTCAAATATATGTTTATTTTTTGGGATGTATTTTGTTTTAAAGCAGGGCTTTTCAGTCAGCAAAGTTGACTCAGGGGCTGAATGCCGAGAATGTGACAAACCCCATGAACTCAGTGGGCCCAATGCTGAGAATGGGGTTTGTCACACTCCAGAGGTCCCAGCCACAGCATATAATGATCATTAGTGCAATACAGTTGGCAGTGAGCCGTGGGCCACTTATTAGGTCTCTGTGGGCCGGATTCTGCCCGCGTGCTGCCTGTTGACTAGCAGTGTCTTAAAGAAATAAGCTATGCAGTGCAATTGTGCCTTGTGTTTGCTTGTTATTGTGTGGAAGCCAAATGAAAAGTTGCATTCTCTTCCCAGGTGGGAGTCTATCAGCAGGACACCCATTTTGAATGAAGAATTGACTTATTCGCAGGAAATGCTGCACCAGTCTGGGTGTATTATGGGATTAGAAACATGGCTGCTAACCTGCATTTATTGTCTGCCTCCTGTTGAACTAAACTGTTCAAGTGTCGATGTTGTTTATATCCGTTCAGAATCTGTGGTGACATGGAGGGAGTGTAGACTATTTTTGGTATGATAGTTTGCAGACAACTGAACTGTTTCTGTTGTGCAGATTGCTAAAGAACTCAACATACCATTCCTGGAGACTAGTGCTAAAGCCAACATCAACGTGGAGAAGGCTTTAATGGGCTTGGCACTAGCCATACTCAACAAGGTGAAACTGGCTTTTCTGGTCTGATCTACCGTTGACTTCATTATCTCATCAACTTTCACTTCATTTTCTCACCAACCATTCACTTCATTATCTCACCAACTAATTATTTCATTTACTCATCAACAAATCACTTCATTATCTCATCGGCCATTCACTTTATTATCGCACCAACAATTCACTTTATTTTCTTATCAAGAAATCACTTCATTATCTCATGAATGAATCACTGTATTATCTCATCGGCCATTCACTTAATTATCTCATCAACCATTCAGTATATTATCTCATCGGCCATGTATGTGTTTTATGTTTGTGTATGTATGTAGATGCATGTGTGTATGTATTACCTATGTCTGTATATCAGTGTGCATGTATGAGAACGTAGGAGTATGTATACGTGTGTGTGAGTTTGTACATCAACCATTCACTTCATTATCTCATCAACCATTCAGTATATTATTTCATCAACCAATAACTTCATTATCTCATCAACCAATCGCTTCATTATCTCATCAACTATTCAATATATTATCTCATCAACCATTCACTTCATTATCTCATCAACCATTCACTTCATTATCTCATCAACCAATCACTTCATTATCTCATCAACCAATCACTTTATTATCTCATCAACTATTCAATATATTATCTCATCAACCATTCACTTCATTATCTCATCAACCAATCACTTCATTATCTCAACTTATCAGCAATTGACTTCATTTTTTATGTCACATGACCTCATTCTTACATCTGCTAACTTCTTTATTATACCAGTTGCTGACTTGATTAACATCCAGGTTGTTGATTTCATTGTCATATCAGTTCACTTGACCAACATCCAGGTTGTTGATTTCATTGTCATATCAGTTCACTTCATTATAATAATCATGGCCTTCATTAACATCAATTCATCAATCTGTTGTTTGCTAACTTCATTATCATATGTTAGTGACTGTGATCCTGTGAATGAGTCTTTGCTGACTACAGCGACGCGTCCTCGGTGAGTATCTGGGACAGATATGGGGGCTGGTCATTCTCACCTTTCTAACGTTCCCGACGACATCACACACTATAAAGGCCAGGAAGGAAGGTCCTCCTCTCCAACTTTCCCGATGACATCACACACTATTAAGGCCAGGGAGGAAGGTTCTCCTCTCCAACGTTCCCGATGACATCACACACTATTAAGGTCAGGGAGGAAGAACCTCCTCTCCAACGTTCCCGATGACATCACACACTATTAAGGTCAGGGAGGAAGAACCTCCTCTCCAATGTTCCCGATGACATCACACACTATTAAGGTCAGGGAGGAAGAACCTCCTCTCCAACGTTCCCGATGACATCACACACTATTAAGGCCAGGGAGGAAGAACCTCCTCTCCAAAGCACAGACCTTAGATAATAAAGTAGAGACATGTAGATGCTACACAGGTCTGAACAACATCAACTGTAAACATAGATGCTACCCAGGTCTGTACAACGTAAACTGTAGACATACATGCTACACAGGTCTGTACAACATAAACTTTAGACATAAATGCTACCCATGTCTCTACAACATAAACTGTAGACATAGATACTACCCAGGTCTCTACAACATAAACTTTAGACATAGATGCTACCCAGGTCTGTACAACATAAACTGTAGACATAAATGCTACCTAGGTCTGTACAACATCAACTGTAGACATACATGCTACCCAGGTCTGTACAACATAAACTGTAGACATAGATGCTACCTAGGTCTGAACAACATCAACTGTAGACATAAATGCTACCTAGGTCTGTACAACATCAACTGTAGACATACATGCTACCCAGGTCTGTACAACATCAACTGTAGACATACATGCTACCTAGGTCTGTACAACATCAACTGTAGACATAAACGCTACCTAGGTCTGTACAACATCAACTGTAGACATACATGCTACCCAGGTCTGTACAACATAAACTGTAGACATAGATAAACTGTAGACATAGATAAACTGTAGACATAGATGCTACCCAGGTCTGTACAACATAAAGTGTAGACATAAATGCTACCCAGGTCCGTACAGCATAAACTGTAGACATAGATGCTACCCAGGTCTGTACAACATAAACTGTAGACATAGATGCTACCCAGGTCTGTACAACATCAACTGTAGACATACATGCTACCCAGGTCTGTACAACATAAAGTGTAGACATAAATGCTACCCAGGTCCTTACAGCATAAACTGTAGACATAGATGCTACCCAGGTCTCTACAACATAAACTGAAGACATACATGCTACCCAGGTCTCTACAACATAAACTGTAGACATAGATGCTACCCAGGTCTGTACAACATAAACTGTAGACATAGATGCTACCCAGGTCTGTACAACATAAACTGTAGACATAAATGCTACCCAGGTCTGTACAACATAAACTGTAGACATAGATGCTACCCAGGTCTGTACAACATAAACTGTAGACATAGATGCTACCCAGGTCTGTACAACATAAACTGAAGACATACATGCTACCCAGGTCTGTACAACATAAACTGTAGACATAGATAAACTGTAGACATAGATAAACTGTAGACATAGATAAACTGTAGACATACATGCTACCCAGGTCTGTACAAGATAAACTGTAGACATAGATAAACTGTAGACATAGATAAACTGTAGACATAGATAAACTGTAGACATAGATAAACTGTAGACATAGATAAACTGTAGACATAGATAAACTGTAGACATAGATAAACTGTAGACATAGATAAACTGTAGACATAGATAAACTGTAGACATACATGCTACCCAGGTCTGTACAAGATAAACTGTAGACATAAATGCTACCCAGGTCTCTACAACATAAACTGTAGACATAGATAAACTGTAGACATAGATAAACTGTAGACATACATGCTACCCAGGGTCTGTACAACATAAACTTTAGACATACATGCTAACCAGGTCTGTACAACATAAACTGTAGACATAGATGCTACCCAGGACTGTACAACATAAACTGTAGACATACATGCTACCCAGGTCTGTACAAGATAAACTGTAGACATAAATACTACCTAGGTCTCTACAACATAAACTGTAGACATAGATGCTACATAGGTTTGTACAACATAAACTGTAGACATAAATGCTAACTAGGTCTTTACAACATAAACTGTAAGAAGAAGCCCCACAGCTTCTGCTGCAGACAGTACGTGCCTGTCTTGTGTATTGTGTGTGTGTAAAAGTGATCAGTTATATGTTTCAGTGAGCGTTGAAAATGTTTCACATGACGTTAGCCTGTGTAAGTGAAAACTTTAAACCCTGTTGTTTTTATCATTGCAGACACCAAGCAGAATATCGGAGCCAACGGGAGTCAATGTGAGCCAGCAGGAGCCAAGTTCTAAGCGCTGCTGTTGATACTTGTCTGTTGGACTGTACACACATCTTTTACTATCTCCCTCATCTCCTACACCACTTGTGTGTTGGACTGTGCACCCATCTTTTACTGTCTCCCTCATCTCCTACACCACTTGTGTGTTGGACTGTGCACCCATCTTTTACTGTCTCCCTCATCTCATACACCACTTGTGTGTTGGACTGTGCACCCATCTTTTACTGTCTCCCTCATCTCCTATACCACTTGTCTGTTAAGACTGTACACCCATCTTTTACTGTCTCCCTCATCTCCTACACCACTTGTGTGTTAAGACTGTGCACCCATCTTTTACTGTCTCCCTCATCTCCTACACCACTTGTCTGTTAAGACTGTACACCCATCTTTTACTGTCTCCCTCATCTCCTACACCACTTGTGTGTTGGACTGTGCACCCATCTTGTACTGTCTCCCTCATCTCCTACACCACTTGTGTGTTAAGACTGTGCACCCATCTTTTACTGTCTCCCTCATCTCCTACACCACTTGTCTGTTAAGACTGTACACCCATCTTTTACTGTCTCCCTCATCTCCTACACCACTTGTGTGTTGGACTGTGCACCCATCTTGTACTGTCTCCCTCATCTCTTACACCACTTGTGTGTTAAGACTGTGCACCCATCTTTTACTGTCTCCCTTATCTCCTACACCACTTGTCTGTTAAGACTGTACACACATCTTTTACTGTCTCCCTCATCTCCTACACCACTTGTGTGTTAAGACTGTGCACCCATCTTTTACTATCTCCCTCATCTCCTACACCACTTGTGTGTTAAGACTGTACACACATCTTTTACTATCTCCCTCATCTCCTACACCACTTGTCTGTTAAGACTGTACACCCATCTTTTACTGTCTCCCTCATCTCCTACACCACTTGTCTGTTAAGACTGTACACACATCTTTTACTGTCTCCCTCAACTCCTACACCACTTGTCTGTTAAGACTGTACACACATCTGTTACTATCTCCCTCATCTCCTACACCACTTGTCTGTTAAGACTGTACACACATCTTTTGCTCTCTTCCACTTGCTTTCATCTTCTACACCATCATCTGTCTGGTCTCTGCTGTCTTTCACACTTGCTAGTGTCTCTGTCTGGTCTCTGCTGTCTTTCACACTTGCTAGTGTCTCTGTCTGGTCTCTGCTGTCTTTCACACTTGCTAGTGTCTCTGTCTGGTCTCTGCTGTCTTTCACACTTGCTAGTGTCTCTGGTCTCTGCTGTCTTTCACACTTGCTAGTGTCTCTGTCTGGTCTCTGCTGTCTTTCACACTTGCTAGTGTCTCTGTCTGGTCTCTGCTGTCTTTCACACTTGCTAGTGTCTCTGGTCTCTGCTGTCTTTCACACTTGCTAGTGTCTCTGGTCTCTGCTGTCTTTCACACTTGCTAGTGTCTCTGGTCTCTGCTGTCTTTCACACTTGCTAGTGTCTCTGTCTGGTCTCTGCTGTCTTTCACACTTCCTAGTGTCTATGTCTGGTCTCTGCTGTCTTTCACACTTCCTAGTGTCTATGTCTGGTCTCTGCTGTCTTTTACACTTCCTAGTGTCTATGTCTGGTCTCTGCTGTCTTTC